GTGTGGGGCAGGAAACGGGGGGGATTTTTATGTTATGTGTGGGGCAGGAAACGGGGGGGATTTTTATGTTATGTGTGGGGCAGGAAACGGGGGGGATTTTTATGTTATGTGTGGGGCAGGAAACGGGGGGGATTTTTATGTTATGTGTGGGGCAGGAAACGGGGGGGATTTTTATGTTATGTGTGGGGCAGGAAACGGGGGGGATTTTTATGTTATGTGTGGGGCAGGAAACGGGGGGGATTTTTATGTTATGTGTGGGGCAGGAAACGGGGGGGATTTTTATGTTATGTGTGGGGCAGGAAACGGGGGGGATTTTTATGTTATGTGTGGGGCAGGAAACGGGGGGGATTTTTATGTTATGTGTGGGGCAGGAAACGGGGGGGATTTTTATGTTATGTGTGGGGCAGGAAACGGGGGGGATTTTTATGTTATGTGTGGGGCAGGAAACGGGGGGGATTTTTATGTTATGTGTGGGGCAGGAAACGGGGGGGATTTTTATGTTATGTGTGGGGCAGGAAACGGGGGGGATTTTTATGTTATGTGTGGGGCAGGAAACGGGGGGGATTTTTATGTTATGTGTGGGGCAGGGAACAGGGGGGATTATTATGTTATGTGTGGGGGGAAGGGAACAGGGGGATTATTATTTTATACGTGGGGGGGTAATATTGTTAAAGTTGTTAATATTTATTCTTGTAACTTTATTCTGCATAAAACATGTAACAGTCTCACTGACAAGATTATTTAAGAGGGTGTGTTTAGGGATGGAGTTAAGGCCGGGGCAGGGTAGGGGTTAGGTGGGCAACTAATGGCGAGTAACTCTTAAGGCCTGGCTAGTAGCTCAGGACTTGAAATTTTGACCCCTGGTGTAGCAAATAGGACAGGACTATACTATAGGTGTGACTTGCTTTAGTGTTGGTAAAAATCCAGTTTTCACAGTCGGACATCACTCAGTTAATTATCATCTGCTACTCAGTATTATTGTCATTGTTCCTAAGATTTTATTAACAATTTATTTCCTGGGTTACTGTTCAATATACCAGTTCTGCTGTTTTAGTCTGTTACCAGCTTTTACCTGCTTAAAATCCAGGGCTTTGCCTTTATTATTAAATCCCAATATATACTTTCCACAAAGTGCGTTGGTGTATCATAGATCTAGTCTGAACGGTTTATCCGGGTGTGGGACAGAAGAACCTCAAATTCAAAGCGGCTCCTACGCGGGTGAGCGCTATACTTGTATTTTTAGACATGTTGTAGATTGGATTCAAAGGACCTCTTTTTATTCCAGCTATGAGTTGGAGAAGAACATGACTCACCCATGAAAATCTTAGTGCTCTACTACACTGCCCCATCTCAAAACTCCCTCCTCATCTAACATCATGCATACGTATAAGAGACTAGTTTATAGCCTGAAAGCAGAACAGGAAACTCTTGAAATTACATCCATAAACTTCTAGATATTTGCCTATTGTGGATAATCCTGCTTTCCCCAAAGAAACTTGGTTTTCAGACAATGGTCTCGTAAAGGGTTTACACATATACGTCACCTATTTCTCCCTGATTTGACCAGGCCCTACTTATTTCAATCATTCTGCTCTCCGTATCAGCTGACCCAGGGATCCTATTTACACTTCTTCCAGCTCATGGTGCATTGGAGACTGTTCTCAGGGGACCCTTCCTAGTTCTTATCGAGGGATACTTTTCACACCCTAGTAGGCAAACCTGGCCAATTTATATCTGCTATCTAACTATTCCTGAGAACTCTTAGGGTATCATCTTTAAAGAAGTCAAACATAGCCCATTGGACAAGTGATATACTCACAGATGACATCAAATTCTGAGAGGCTACTGCACAATCAGGAACCTTATACCCAACGAACACTGGAGAGAAACACAATTTAAGATTATTTATAGAGCTTACATTTCAGTGGAGAGTGGGAAGAACGGTAAAAGGCTGAGATGACTCTGCTTAATCAGTGCCTTAAATGTGGGGAGGAATTGGCCTCTTTGTTTCACTGTCTATGGTTGTGCCCTGTGATTGCTCTTTTTTGGTCTTGGGTGGTATCCTACATATGTGATATACAGCATACCCCCAACCCAATGGACCCAATGTAATCAATCTTCCCAGAGGTTTTTGTTATCCTGATTTTTTTTAGGAATATGATGATGTGCCAATAGATATTTATACTTAGTTTTTTAATGATTTCTAATTGTAATGCTTGTTTCAACAAGATACCAAATAATTCCTTATATTCTTTAGTGGTGTTGATAACTAATTTCTGATATATATTGGTGTCCAACAATAATTTGTAAGCATCCATTAGGTAGTCATCTCTATTCTACAGCACCAGGCCACCTCCCTTATCCACCTGTTGCATTGTTAATTTCCCATCTCTCTCAGATGGGGTCAAATGAATGACACCTCTGGTTCTTAGAGCACATCTGAGTAGACAAGATGACAAAAGTTGGATACAAATGGGCTTTTAGAATGCTGCTGATAAAAGTTGGACAATGGCTTAAATGGTGTACGAATAATTTCTGGATCATGGGTACTAAAAAAAATCCCATAATTCTTCCAAACACAGGCAGACCATTACAGCAACTTCCCCTAATAGGATATACGTATCTACTACCTTCCCATTGTCATTTTCTCTTTGTATTCCATTATTTATACTAGTCTCCCCTAGAAGAAAATATCTATGCAGTCTTAACTTCCAGACATATCGATTTGGATCTAAGAACAGCCGATACTGGTTAGGGAAGGAGGTAGGTGCGAGACTTAAAGAGGAGAATTGATCAAAACTGGAGCAGACAGAATCTGAAGCAGTTGCCCATGGCAACCAATCAGCTTCTATTTTCAGTTTGTTCAGTTAAGATTTGAAAATGAAAGAGAGAAGCTGATTGGTTGCCATGCACAGCTGCTCCAGATTTTATCTGCTCCAGATTTTGATAAATTCCACTCAAAGTACATCTCCTCAGATCACTGGCCCCGGAAGTGATGTGTATTACATCACTTCTGGTGTCACTGTGCACATTCTCCAGCTCTTGGAGCCAGGAGAAGAAGCTGGTGAGCCAGATCTCTGCTTCATCAGCTTCTTTCGGGTCCCCAGGTGACATTAGGGGTCTGAAAGACCTCAACAAACTTCTTGGAAAAAGAATAAAATGATAAATAGTAGAAAACCACTTAGGGTCTGTAAGACTGCTTCCACTCTCTAAAAACAAGATCAAAATGTATGTTGATTAAAGACATTAAAGACAAGTGCTTAGGCCTTTGGGCCCTGTACTTGTAGAAGAAAGTGAGACCATGTATTTTAATAAAACCAGAATATGCATAGTTGAGACAGAAAGCTCTCCTGAATGAAAAGTTGTTGTGTGCCAGAAAGCACAAGCTGCGGCCACCCCCACCCCCGAGAAATCCAGTGTGGCTTTAGAGATGGACAGACATATTACTGGGCCCGATGCAGGAGTCCACCAGCATCAGCATAATGACAAGCAAATCTGAAGTGCAAGCTCTTGCCTGAACCCTTGATGTATTGGAGAGGTGAGGGGTATTCAGAACCTTAGGGGGGTGCTAGCCAGGCTGTGTATAGACACTAAGGCGATCTGGCCCTGCTACTAGTGATATGAGCCATTGCCTTGCTGCATCCCCTAAATAGGTAATCTGGTGAAGCACAAGTGGAACTCTCAGCGCTGCTAAGCAGTGCACCAGTGTAAGCCCTGCCCACTTCCTCTGCAAGTATATTAACAAAAAACTCAAATAAAGAACAGCTAGGAGTCAAACTGGTGTCAGAAACAGCAGGAATGCAGCAATTTGAAAGTGGGAACAAAAAGATATACTGAATCATGTCCAGGTAGCAGAAAGAAAACAGAGTTAAGAAAAAAAAAACAGCTCTGCAATTTTTGCCCCAGAGAATAGAGCAGGCATATGTGTAACAGCCTTACTCAAAAAAACACTAACAACTGGCAGCTGGAGTTCAATGGTTACACAAAAAAAAAACAGAAGAGACACATGCAGCTCTCAGGCCGTAGGCTGGTAAAAAAAAGAGATGGCCTTTTCCTTAGTTCTTTCCACTTTTTTCTGAATGTTGTAACTTTTTTTGGTGTATTGTACTGTCAATACACACAAAAAAAACAAGACCTACAATGTCTGTGCAGGTTGTCATTCATCCAGGTCATGGTATACAGTATCTGTAAAAAATCAGTCACGGCAACTGGACTTGCTGTATTTTATTTTCTTGAAGATGTTTCACTAGTGATCCGACCAGCTTTCTCAATTCAGAATGACTTTGTATGTTGCAGACAATAGATGCCTCACCCCCCCCCCCCCCCATTCTCCCTGGGCAGGTTAATAACACCTCCTAGACTCCAATTATGCAATCAATGCTAACAGATTATGTGGATTGGAGCAACATTCACCATATTTATTCAGAGATAATTTTTTGTACAAGTCATGTTGAATAGAGAAAGCTGGTTGGATGACCAATTAAACGTCTTCAAGAAAAAAAATACAGCAACTCCAGTTGCCTTGATTTTTTACTGATAAGGCCTACAATGTACCTGTCTCTTTACATTATTTTAAGATTTTATTTTCACACCTTCTCTCTAAAACACCACAAGTAGCAACAAACTACACCCACATACAAATAAAAGAACACCTACTGGGGGCTTCCCATGCTATTTTGGGGACAATATCCTATCTAGTAGCCATGTAAAGGACCAAAAAGAACCTTAAGAAAATGCCCCATAATTGACGTCAATGCAATCCAAATCTGAAATTCAAAGTCATCTAATTTTTTTTTATCTGACAAATTTTGTGCGAACGGTATTTTGCAGATTTACTCATTACTAATCCTTACTCCATTACAAGTATGTAAGCTGTAGTCGAGAAAACGAATCAACCTGTCAGATATATGTATATACCAACTATGCATGTATAAATGTACTTTATTACTTTTACAGAGAACCTGTGTTGTAATAATCTACAATATATATTTTTTTTATAGGTTAATACTGGATAAAATATGAAGCTCAACATCACAATGGAACAGAGGGACCCATTGCCGGTTTTTATTGGTCAATTACTCTTTTTAAAATCAAGAAAATAGGATTATGGAGATGATTTCTGCCAGATCATTGCAACAAATTTTTGGTGATTGAATCCACAAAATCTATTAGGGTTTAAGGCTGTCAAACATGTGCTCATAAATATCTGAAAACTGTTAGCAATAATACAGTACTCAGATGCTATACACTCCCGTAGAAAGAGTGAGAGTTTAAATCCCTCCCTTGAGCTTTTTTTGGGTGTACCCAGAAAAGAATGATCAACTGCTATCAAGTCAGAGCTAAATCCTGAGGACCATATAGACTGTCCATTTCCAGAGTGTCCTGTCCCTAGTTTGTGATCAAAGGCTGCTCAGTAGTTCACTCATACTTGTCAATGTATAATCTTGTTTATTGCCATCAAACTTTCTCATGGTAAGAGATTTTGCAAAGGTATCTGGTTGCCTTATAACCTTCACATTCTGATATGCTCCCTGGTGCCCAAATTACCTGACTTTAAATCATGTAGCTGAGCCAGGTTCTGCCCCTCCTTCCTCATTACTGGTCAGTTAATCCACTTATTACAGCGATAGGCCAACAGAAAAAGCCAGAGCTACACTACAGGATTAGGTATTTAATAAAATTAGAACTTCTGGGTTTTGCAGTTCCTGGAGAACTCAGGATGACATATAAAGGTTTGAGCAGGCATCTGTTGTTCCTTAGGATGGCCAACTTTCTTAAGGCATGTAGTACTCATAGAAATAAAAGGTGAGAATTTAAGGGTCAGTCCAAGCAGAACTGTTGTTTTTTTTTTTTTTTAATAGATGCCAGATGGATGAATCACTGACCAGCCTTACATATATGCCCTAGGAAATCTGCTACAAAGATCTCAGTGCTTGATTTCCAACCAAATTTTTGTGGCAAATGCAGAAATGTCTCACTCTCCCTCTTGGAATTAGTTTTTTCATAGTTAGGCCCCATTCATATGTGGACCCAGACAGATTGCATCCTGGGTCAGACATCTATCCCTAACCAACAGGTAACTGCTATGTGTGTGGATACATGCTACGGCTCCCGACAGCCTGTCATTGCTTTGTACAGACTTCCTGGCTGCAGCGGTTTGCATACATCTGTGATCCCAGCCGCATGAATCTGCAGACTCTTGGCGCAGGAATTCACTGTTCAGCCCTAATTGCATGTGTTAATAGGTACTTATATTAATACAAATACTGCAGCAAAAAGATCCACAAAGCAAAAAAAGCTGGGATAACCAAGGGCAGTTCTTATCCCTGGAGTACACAGGTCATGGATATAAAATGGCAATTGCAGATTCATCATGATCATTCTTGCTACATCTATCATTATATATATA